TGGTAAGAAATTAATAAATATTTATTTATTTTTTATTTTTATTTTTTAAAAGAGAGAGAGAATTTTTTTAATATTTATTTATTTTTTAGTTTTCGGCAGACACAACATCTTTGTTTGTATGTGGTGCTGAGGATCAAACCCAGGCCGCACACATGCCAGGCAAGCGCACTACCCCTTGAGCCACATCCCCAGCCCAATAAATATTTATTGAACAAATAAATTTTTAAAACCAGGAGATAAATGGATGAGTTACAATCTGAGTAGTTTGGGCTCTATATAATTCTCACTATGAACCAGCTCTATAAATGTGTTCTGTTGGAGTTAACCTTTGGGATTAGGACTGGTGCAGAGATAGATGCTCTTATGCTTGCAATCTGTCCAGAAATGAGTAACCTTCGCAGATGGCCAGGTCACTCCAGTAGCTTACTTATTTGGCAGCATTTGTTGGTCCAACTGTGTACAATATCATTTATAGAACTGCTGCTATAATTACTATGTTACTCAATTGCTTTCCTTCTGCTTCTAATTTAAAAACAGTTCTAGTTTCCAAATATTTCATCCTAATGAAAATGGTCACAGTTCTGCATTCAGTGGGAGAAGTCTGTTTCTGGAAGGACCTAATTGGCATCTGGAATATGCATGTGATCAGGGAACTACTAGGAAACAGTTTGAGCAATGCTTTTTTGTACATTTACTTTGAAACTGAGTACTGTAATCAATTTTGTAAGAACTTTCCATGCTGCATTAAGCCATAGATGTGATGCAAATTATAACCTAGCACTAGCAACACTAACATTAAAGTAATAAAGTGTTCTTTACTTTAAGGCCATGATACATTTTTAAAGAAGCAAGATTTCCTCAAAAACCACTCACTCTAAATCTGGCAATTTTGTGAGAACTTAAAGGAATAAACTTGATTCATTTTTATTAAAGAAGTACTGAACACAAGTTATAATATTTTTTAAATATGTTTTTAGTTGTAGATGAACACACAGTGTCTTTATTTTTATRTGGTGCTGAGAAGCAAACCCCAGTGCTTCACACATGCAAGGCAAGTGCTTTACCACTGAGCTGCAGCCCCAGCCCAAGTTATAATATTTTTAAGATAGCATGCTGCTAAATATTGTGAAATATACTATGAACTAAGATATTTTATTTGTAAGATTTTTTAAAATTTTCTTGCAATGTGGTTGTACCGATTTAAAGAGATCTCTGTCACTTTATAACTTATTTTTCTTGAAAATGAACTTAACAGCTTATAAAATCTGAACATTAGAATATTTAATTTTTGGTAGTAATAACATCATGTTATGACTTATTGCAGATCTTTCAGCAAAAAGTGCCTCTGTTCCAGATGAACTTGGTGCCTGTGGACATTCCAGAACATCAAGCTATGCAAGCCAGCAGTCAAAAGTATCAGGTAGAAGCTAGCAGTGAAGTTGAATCCCTTATTTCTTATTCCTAAAAGGATCTGAAACTGCTGTTTTGTGGGAGAAGGGTGTTAAGTATTTTGTGGGAGAAGGGTGTTAGATTACAGTATGTCTGACATTAGTATTATATCCAAAGTGATTTTTTTCTCTGACAGGGTATAGCACATGTCACTCCCGGTCATCAAGTTTCTCTGAGCTCTGCCACAGGAGAAATACCTCAGTGGGAAGTACATCAACAGGAATTGAAAGTATTCTAGAGCCATGTGATGAAATTGAGCAAAAAATAGCTGAGCCAAATCTTGATGCAGCTGATAAAGAAGATRTAGCCTACGAAAAACTCAACAGGTATCCTTTTAGTTTAAAGATAAATTTAAATTTAAAAACAAAAAACTTGGGGCTGGGGATGTGGCTCAAGCGGTAGCGCGCTCGTCTGGCATGCGTGCGGCCCGGGTTCGATCCTCAGCACCACATACCAACAAAGATGTTGTGTCCGCCAAGAACTAAAAAAATAAATATTAAAAAATATTCTCTCTCTCTCTCTCTCTCTCTCTCTCTCTAAAAAAATAAATAAATAAATAAAAACAAAAAACTTTGCCTAGCACTTGCCTAGCATGTGTGAGGCTCTGGGTTTATTCCCTAGTACCACAAAAAGAAAAGAAGAAAAAAGTATTTTTATAAAATAACGGATAAAAAAGAAAAAAAACCTGTAATTCTTTTTGAAGATGCCCAATGAACCAGGATTCTGTAGAATCTCAGATGAAGCGAGTTGATGACACCAGAGTGGATGCAGATGATATTGTGGAAAAAATATTACAAAGTCAAGACTTCAGCCTAGATTCCAGTGCAGAAGGTATGTAGAGAACTGTTAAGTATAGAGTTCTGTAACCCAGGTTTRTACAATCCATGTGATCAACAGGAAAGTGGTAATACATCATGGCACTGCTACGCACTTGTAAAAGAAATTTGATGCTCATAAAATCTCAAGATAACTTTGTAGCTTATTTATTTCTGAGAATGGATATTGAGTTTGGAAAAGAAACAAACTTTAATTAAAAGTGATTAATCTTAGCGGGGCTGTCATTCGGTGAAAGAGCAGTTACTTAGCCTTTGTGAGGTCCTGGGTTCAATTTTTAGCACCCCAAAAAAACAAAAAGAAATTCTAAAGAATATTTGTATTTTAAAATTATGTTTCTGCATCTGCCATGTTCATATATCTTACAATAGAGATCTACATCTGTGTCTGTGGTAGTACTTCAAGTCACAGGATTTGGAAAGTTGGGCTAGTGGTTTTGAACAATAGGGAATAACATAGTCCTTCAATCCCTCCTTAKTGTTTTCCCTAAACTGTAAATTTATGCGCCATGAATTTGAAAAGTGGAATTACTCAGATGAAGTTACTCAGATGGTGTGTATAGAGCACACTTAACAATGGACTTAGTTCCATTGTGTAATGGGTTGTAAAGAGAAACAATTAAACCTTGTGAAAAATTGTAGGAAAGACTGTCTTCTTTACTCAGTTAAAAGAAAAAGAGTTGAAGGGAAGTTGATCAGAAGTAACTATTAGAATAGCTTTTAAATTGCCATGTACATAATTGTTTTTGAGTTTTTGATTATTTTAATAAATAAATATGAATTTTGAATTACTAAAATATGAATATTATTTGGCAGTAGCCTAATAAGTATCCATTTAACAAAATTTTAAATGTATATTGCAGAAGAAGGACTGAGGTTATTTGTGGGTCCTGGAGGAAGTACAACCTTTGGCAGTCATCATCTTCCAAACAGGTATGTAGTCCAAATAGTACCTTATTAAAATACAGACTTAACTTTTAAAAAATGCTCGAGTGGAGGACAAAGGTTGCAAATTTTTTATTAGACTGAGGCTATACAATACTAATATTAGTGATTGCATGAGAAGAGTTAACAGTTCTTGGTGTAGTTCTCACTCTTCTTATTCAGGATGTGTTTGACATTATATTTTATAAATTTGATAATTTCCTTAGATGTATTTTTAGAGTATATTAGTAAAGGACTAGTAGAGTACCCAGACAAGTTGCAATATAAAAAAATTATTTAGAAAAGAATCTTAGTCTAATATTTTATTTTTGTTTTGGTTGGTTTTTCTGTATTGGAGATTGAAATTGCATGTTTTTTCCACTAAGCTACATCCCAAGTTCTTTCTCTTCCTCCCTTTCTGCAGTGCTGGGGATCAAATCCAGAGCCTAGCACATGCTAGGCAAGTCCTATACCACTGAGTTATACCCCCAGCCTGCAATCCATTTTATTTTTTATTTTGAGACAGGGTCACACTAATTGGCCTAGAATTTGGCAATTCTCTTGCTTCAGCTTCCTGMAGAGTTCACAGGTGTGTGCCACTGTCCCCACCTCTTGGTCCAGTATTATAGACAGAACAAAGTAAAACCATATTTCCAGCCAGTGGCCTATCCTTTTTTATTTAATTTTTTCTTTTTAGTTATACATGTAGAATGAATGTATTTTGACATTATACATAACATAGAATATAACTCCCCATTCTTGTGGTTGAACGTGATATGGAGTTTCACTGATCAYGTATTCATGTATGAACATAGGAAAGTTATGTCCCATTCATTCTGCTGTCTTTCCTTTTCCTATCCCCTCTCTATTCCCTTCAGTCCCCTTTGTCTAATCCTCTGAACTTCTATTCTTCCAGCATCCACATATCATAAAGAACATTTGACCTTTAGTTTTCAGTGACCTTTCTGTTATGTGCAGTTAAGCACCCACCCAGCAACATAAGCTAATAACTAACTTTTCTTGCGCTCTCCTTTCTTACTGCTAGAGTCTAACATACGTTCCAAGTTAATTTCTAAAGCCAGGTGCAATGGCACACGTCTCTAATTCCATTGACTAGAGAGGCTGAGGCAGGAGAACTGCACCTTCCAGATCAGCATAAGCAATTAAGCCTCAGCAACTTAGTGAGACCCTATCTCAAAAGATAAAAAGGGCTGGGACTAACAGAGATATGAAAAATTGTGGTATATATGTGTAATAAAAATTTTAATGCCAAAAAAACACAAAGTACATGTATAATACATGAATTGGTGTGAACATACTTTATATACAAAGATAAAAATTATGCTCTATATGTATAATAAAAATTGTAATGCATTCCACTGTCATATCTTTAAAAAAATAAAATCAATTCAAAAAAAAAAAGGGCTGGGGCTATAGCTCCTTAGTAAAGTGCCCCCCACCCACTGGATTCACTCTGCAGCTACCAAAAAAAAAAATATCTGAAAACCAAATATCATTTTGGTAGTTATTCAGATTCAGATGGAGAAAAGTTACCTGCCAGACCTACCACCCTGATTCTCAATATAAGTTGAGTATTCCGTGTCCAAAATACTTAGGACCAGAAGTGTTTCAGATTTCAGATTTTTAAGTTTTGGAATATTTACACTGACATCACCAGTTGAGCTCCAAAATCTGAAACTTTTAAGCAAAATGCCATCCTCAAAAAGTTTCAGATTTTGAAACATGTTACATTTTCAGATTAGCGATAATCAGTCTATACTTCAGAATGGTAAGTACAGCTGTCAAGAACACCTTAGGAATTTTGTTTATTTATCTTTTATGTGGTGCTGAGGATCGAACCCAGTGCCTCATATGTGCGAGGCAAGTGCTCTGCCACTGAGCCACAACCTCAGCCCACCTTAGGAATTTTGATTGTCCTCTTCCTCACATCCCTTCTGTGCACCCCGGCACTGTTTCTATGTAATATTTATGTACAGCTTACACACAACAGAGTAAATCAGAGTTGCAGGGGTATGGGAGTGCCTAGGCCAAGACATTTGTTTTATTATTTCATGCTCAAAATCTGAAAGAATTTTTAGTTCATTTCTTGTACGAGTATTCATTTTAATGAGTATCTCCTATGTGTCCAGCACATTATAGAGCCCAAAGGATACAAAATAGTGTCTAATAGCAAATACCTACATCATTAACTAGAGTCATATATGGTAGGTAGGAAAGAAAGAAACATAAAGATGCTATGAAGAAGTAATTTTTAAAATATTTTTAGTTGTAAATGGACATAATACATTTATTATTTTTATGTGGTGCTGAGGATCTAACCCTCACATGTGCTAGGAAGGACTCTACCACTGAGCTACAGCCCCAGCCCTGAAGAAGTAATTTGAAAAGCAGTTTATAAMGGATATAGCACAAGTTAGACCTTTAATTAATCTTCATGACTTATCCACTCATTAAATTTAGTTAACTTTTGGACCTGCTTGTGGATAAGGATACAAGGAGGAAAGACCCAGCTCTTACCCTCAGCCAGCGGATGGTCCTAGCACATGGAGTTGGCACCTCAGCCAGTGGACCAAATTACTATTGCCTGTTTTTGTAAAGCAAGTGTCATTGGAACACAACCATGCCTGGTTACATATATACTATCTGTGACTGCTTTGATGCTGTAACAGCAGAATCGCATAGTATAGCAGAAACCATGTGGCCCACAAAGCCCAAACTATTTATATCAGGTAAGATAGACAAACTATAAATAGTGGAGGGAACTCAGAGAGAACAGCAAAGGGACTCAGATGGAGAAACTCCCTGGAAGAGCTGACACTTGAAGAGGGTCTTTGGGAGAATAAATATAAGTGGGTTTTTTAAATATTTATTTATTTATCTTTAGTTTTTTTTTTTAAGGTGGACACATTATTTTTGTTTTTATGTGGTGCKGAGGATCAAACCCAGTGCCTCATGCATGCTAGGCGAGCRCTCTACCACTGAGCCACAACCCCAACCCATAAGTAGGGGTTTATCAGGCAAATTCAGGGAAGATAGATATTCCTGGTAATAGGAGCAAATAAAATGAATTTATAGGCATTATAATTATACAATACTTATTATAGGTAAAATTGAGTATTTATTAGTTATGTGCCAGGCATAAGCACATACATATTTGTATCATATTCATTTCTTATAGTATCTCTTTAAGTGCACACAACACACTATAATTAGTTATTTAAAACATGGAAATAGATGCACAACTATAATCACAGCTGCTTTGGAGGCTGAGGCAGGAGGATTGCAAATTCAAGGTCAAGCTGRGCAACTTAGTGAGAGCCTGTCTCAAAATAAAATTGAAAAAGAAGGGGGCTAGGGATGTAACTCATTGCTCTCCCACCTTGGGGTTTGATCACTAGCACCACCAAAAAAAAAAAAAAAAAGACTGAAATTCAAGACCAGCATCAGTAACGTAGAAGAACCCTATCTCAAAATTTAAAGAAGAGCTGAGGGTGCTCAGTGGTAGAGCGTCACTGGGTTCAATCCCACTACAAAAATAAAATAAGGAGACAAAGATACAAAKAAGTAGAGATCATTTGCCCAAGGCCATAAACTAGTTGAGTGGTGAAACCAAGGCTCAAGATTCATGTCTCTTTCAATCCAAAGCCCATCACACTTAATCACTTTGACCTTACCAGCTTCTAAATAATATGACCTAGTTAGAGAATTGCCTAAAATATTTCTTCCCAGAATGGGTCATGTGAAAGTAATTTTGAGGACATAAGGTTGGTTGAAAAGTATCTTTAAGCCCAGTAATAAAGGCCTCAGTTGATATAATGAAGAGTTTATTCTTCCTCATATCTACAGTAGGAGCCATTGGTGATTCTTGCATGGAAATGAGCTATCAGAATGGCATTTTAGAAAAGTGACCATAATTTTGTCAGAGCAAATAAAGATACATCAAATACTTTCAATATGTGCTATTAGTATTATTGTTATTCAGAGAAAAGAAAGATGAATTTTGGTTGAGAGATCATCTAAAACTTAGGATACAAAAACACTTATTTAGTAAAGAAGCTGATTCTGGTTCCCACCCCCTTTTCAAATGAATGCTAGAATAATCACCTGGGGCCCGGGGTTGTAGCTCAGTAGTAGACTATTTGCCTAGCATGTACAAGGCCCTGGGTTTGATCCCTAGCACTACTAATAACAAAAATATGAAAAAAAATATACAATAATCATCCAATGCATGAAAGCCTGAAGTGTTCATTAGGTGTCAAAGTAAATGGTTCATATGACATGCCACAGAAACACCAAAGAACATCAGAGAGAATATGTCATGGTGAAAGATAATGGGCCACAGAGGCAGATAGACATGGGTTTCATTTCTGGATTAGCTATTATGACTCAGCTTAGCTATGATCTTGGYTAACCACATCTCTCACTTGCTACCAGAAAGAGCACTGCATCAGTAGGGTTAACATCACAGGCTCAGGAGTTGGGCTGCTTAGTTTAGTACCAAAGTGTGTCTTTGAAAGTCATTTCTCTTTACATTTCCTCACCATAAAATGCTGCTAATGGAAACTATCTCATAAGAATAATAAGGTTAAAATTAAATGAGGTAAGATATGTACACGCTTATAACAATATCTGGTATGCAATAAGCATTCAATCACTTTATATACACTAATTGAAGATMTGTTGCAGAGTTAATTCTGGAGATTAAGCTATTTGAAGTGCCCAGCATGCTGCTTATACACATAGGCTCTCAATAGATAATGGGTATTTATTTATCAGAGAAGTTAACATGTCAGCGTTAGATCTGTTCTGTGAGATAAACTATGGTGGTACAAATGAAACCAGAATCATTTACCTAGGTGCAGAAGAGAATGGAGAGAACACAGCAACAAGCCATACAGATTTGGTGAGGGCTTTCAGCAAGTAACCTGTCTGAAGTCTAGTGGATACTGATTGCCTGCACAGGGTTTCTTATAGGGTCCTGCTTGMTCAACTTTATTTTCTAAAAAGAAGTCTGCTTTGATTTCATTTTTATTCTTTTGTATGTTGTCTTTTATCTCTGCTTTTAAGATTTCCTCTTTTCACTACTCTTAACAGTTTGATTATGATATGCCTTGATGTATTTCTCTCTGTATCTATTCTGCCTGAGATTCATTAAGCTTCTTGGATCTCTGGRCTTATAGTTTTTATTAAATCTGAAAATTCTCCTACTCTTCCTTCGGGTATTCTAACCTTCAAATTCTGTCCACCGGCTTTTCTGAGCCCTGACCTCCTACTCCTCCACTCAGACCACCAAGTTGTTAGGTCCTYCCTCTCTGCAGATTAGGGAGATCCTGAAGCAAACTGCTTCAGGTAGCAAGTTGGGGCCATTGTAGGACTTTCTTCACTGATTTCCTTTTTACTGGGAAAAAAAGTCTTGCACTGCCTGTTGTCCAGTGTGTGCAAACTATCATTTTCTATGTTCTATTGAGTTTATAATTATTCAAGGCAGGAAAGAAACCTTGGTTCCTATTATTCCATTATGGCCAGAGCAGAGCATACTTAAAAGGACATCTCAAAGACAGGTTCCTTCAAATTACAATTGTCTGCTGGGGCTAAGGTTGTGGCTCAATGGTAGAGTGCTTGCCTAGCACGTGGGAGGCTTTGTGTTCCATCCATAGCACTACATGCAAATAAATAAATAAATAAGATTATGATTGTAGCCTGTGAGTTGTTTGTTTTCCTCTTTAAGCAGTGCTGGGGATTGAACCCAAGGCCTCACACATGCTAGACAAACATGCTACCACTGAGCTAAATCCACAGCACACAAATTCTGATCATCTATGGCTACAAATGGATATTCATTGGTTCTCATTTGAGGATGGTCCCATCATTTCTTCTGTGCAGTGAATCTGTTTTAATTTTTGGTGGGGGATGAGGTGCCAGGGATTGTACTCAGGGGGCACTCGACCACTGAGCCACATCCCCAAACCTATTTTGTATTTTATTTAGAGACAGGGTCTCACTGAGTTGCTTAGCACCTTGCTTTTGCTGAGGCTGGCTTTGGACTCGCAATCTTCCTGTCTCAGCCTCCCTAGCTGCTGGGATTATAGCTGTGCGCCACCAAACCCAGCTGTGCAATAAATTTGTAAGAACCCTCAGCAGTCAGCTTAGAAGTCCAACTCAGTTCATGATGTACTAGTAACCACTAACTTATTGCCATCTTTTAAAATTTTCTYTTAAAATGCCATTAAGCATCCAGTGCCAGGATGTACACCTAAAATCCCAGCTATTTGACACACTAAGGCAGGAGAATCCCAATTTCTAGGCCAAGTTGGCAACTTAGGAAGACCCTATACCAAAAACAAAAATTTTAAATGTCTAGAGCACATGTAGCTCATTGGTACAGTACTTGTTGAGCAAAAATGAGGCCCTGAGTTCATTCCCCAGATCTACCAAAAAAAAAAAAAAATGACATATATGTATTAACTAAAACAATTCTCTAGCCAGTTCTGGGGCATGCTCCTGTACTCTCAGCTGCTCAGGAGGCTGAGGCAAGGAGGACTGTTTGAACCCAAAAGTTCAACAACATAGTGAGACTTGGGCTCAATAAGAAAACCACACTACTATAACAACTAAAGACTATCATCATTAACTGAGTGCAAGGCCTGATGCACTGCTGAAGTCTCTTATACTCCTGGATGAATTGACTTTTTAGCATTTGTATATAAACATGTTTGAAGAGAATATTCCTTGTAGCAGTTTGTTGATAGGTCAAGAATTGTGTTATTAGATTATTGTGGAAATAAGTAGGAAGATCAAGGCCTAGACTAACCCAATGTATTAATTATAAACATTTACTCTTTCAAGTATTTTCTACTTGTGATACCTTTTAACCTTGTCGAAATGAAATCTAGTAGAAAACTGTTCAGTGCATTCTCTCTCAATTTCAAACACTTCAGCACAACATTTTGAAGGTTTTATTCCCCCTGCTGTTCTAGGGTGGGGTCTGGAGCTTATGAACAAGTTGTGATCAAACGCTAGCAGTCAAGCCGGAGATCTGAAGCTTCCCTGTGGATTTAAAGTGTGGGCAGTTGATGTATGGAGGCATTTTAGTCGAGCACTTAAAAGGAATCTGTGAACCTCATCTGTCAAGAAGAAAGCCAATGCTGATTTCGTCTCCAAAAGCGCCCACCTTCCCCACCCAGTGAGAAGGAACATCTGAATGGTATTCTCAAGGCAGTGTGCCAGAGTGTGCCTTGGAGGTGCACTGCTCCTGTGGCCACTGCACATGACAGTGAAAAACTGTTCTTTCTTTCAAAATACCCAATGGGAAAACAGCACYAGATATGTCTGAGTATAATTTTAGTATTCAAGAGTAAAATCTGTGATAGAGGTGCTCAATAGATTGGGCTGTATGTTTTTTATTTTAATTTTACATTTTAGATATAAGTGAATATAATTTAAATTTAAACCCTATAAATTCTGTCAAGATAGTTATTAAGTCCTCTTAAGGAAATATTCCATATTATACTACCTAAGGTATTATACTGTTTATTAACTCATTTTGATGCAATAATTGATATAAARTGTGGGTGTTCATGCTTTGGGAAAATGTTTTACTACAATAACATAAAATGCTTAAAATTATTATAAATATATCAGTCATAAATCAAATGACAAGTGTGTTTTAAGTCTGAGGTAGGTAAATGGATGTGATGTTGTTGTTATGTGGTATATAGTATTGTTATTTGTCATTAACATTAGATGAGCTGCAGAATCCCCACTAGCACTATACGTGAAGATTTAAAATAAGCTTAATATTCAATGTGTTAGGCCACCATAAGGCACCCAAACAGAAGAACTATTTTAATTCACTGAATTAAGACCTGCTGGTTTCAACAGTCAAAATTTASAACATGAGGAAAATTGTGATATGATCTGAAACAGAGCATCCCTTTCTATGAAAATTCAGGCTTGTCCAAAGCTGAAACTTAACTCTGACATGGTAGTGGGTAGAAAATAGGAAACAGCTACTTAACATTACTGAGCTAAAGGATTGGTAGTTTTCCATTTTAGCTTCCTAAGGTCAGATATTATGTTTTCTTTTTTACTATATCAAAAATTAATTGTTTTGAGGCAAGAGTAGACTGTAATATACATCAAATATGGCTTTAAAATATGAATATCTYGTCTGGTTTCAGTTTCACAGCACAGCATATAAACTTTAGAGGTTTTCTGCTCTAATATGACCGTCTCCATGTGGAAAGATCAAAACCTTCYTGGAATCAAATAAAAACTCAGTCACTGAAGAAAAACAGATTCCTTAGAACCATTGATGTCCCAGTCCTTAATTTCGAAATCATGTTCAAGAAAGAAAATGTCAGAATAAAACTGGTCTAGCTTTCATGTTGGCAAAATATCCAAATTTAAAGGTTTGGAAAAAAACAGAAAAGTTCATGTTACGAACTTTTTTTTTTTAATTTCAAAGATTGGGTATCCCATATTAATAAATTTTTACAAATAGATTCTGAAATTTTTAAAATATTCTGAATTCTTAAATTATTTAGAATATTTTGTATGTTGAAAAGGTTTTATAAGTCCAATATGTTTTTTATTTTTTAAGATATATTTTGAAGGCCATGTGCGGTAGCACACGCCTGTAATCCCAGCAACTCAAGAGGCAAA